AAATTAAAAAAAAATGTCCAAATATTTAACCAAACATGTAACAAAGGTTGAAATTAAAGAAATCTGTATAAAATAATTTTAAAAATATATGTTTTGGGGCTTTTAATTAATAGTGACAGCTGAAGAATGACAGGACGGGGGAAGAGAGAGAGGGGATGACACGCAGCAAAGGGCCACAGGTCTGAGCCGAACCCATGGCCGCTGCAGCAAGGACCCAGCCACGGTACATGGGGTGCCAGCTCCACCACGTGAGCTATCCCAGAAAAGGTTTTTTATAAAACTTAAAATTTGCCATAATGGATATTTGTATAGTAATCTATGAAATGAAAATGTGAAAACAATGTGTTGGAGCTCCCACTTTATGGAGAGTTTAAGCTCATTGTTTTGTCTCACTCTCACTGCTCTCATGTAACAGTTGTTTTCAGAGAAAATGCTGTAAAACTGTAAACTACCTGCTCATCATCCAATGTCAGAGTTACCGACTAGATGGTGAACACAGTGGAGCATTTAGCAGCTAAAGAACCAGATATCTCCTTCAAAAGTTGGTGGAGACCAAAAAGAGAGCAAAAGGTTGTCATGAAAACAGCTCAAAATGAATGATAATGTTGTTCTGTAGCTTAATATGCAGCTGTATCACCATTTTCATGACCAAAATGTATTATTATGATGGATACAGTGCTCTCCGTCTTAATTGCCATGCACTTTCTATAAATCTGGCTAAAACAAAAATTTCAGCTCAACATTTCACCTTCAGACACCCAAAACAAATCAGAACAGATGGTTCCTCAAGTCATTGTAGACAGGGCAGTGAAAAAGAAGATCACAGAGAACACATAAATGCTGCTCTTCAGGAATATCTTTATATCTTCCTACCTCAATAGCCAGTGTTAAGGAACCAGTTTTCAACTGAGCACAACTCTGCCCTCTCCTTAAACGAAATACTACTGCTTTAATAATATTGCTTAATAATATTATTATCCATACTTTTTATGGGATTGCAGACTTATGGGTTTAACAGCAAATGTTCTTTATTTTATTTTATTATTATTCTATGTCTTATCTACAGAATACATATTCTATGTCTTATCTATAGAATACATGTTTGCCTCTCTGCTTCATGCCAGGTTCCCACAGAAAAACTGAGCATAACATTACTTCCAGCAGACCTCCAAAGTCACAGTTGCACTAGCTGATTGGCATCAACTGCTTCATTCATGCTTCACCATCATTGGCTCATCAATAAACTGTTTGGCTACTGCTGTAGCTGTAACGTCCAGTCATACTTATACATGCTTATATCTTGGCCAACCTGATTCTTATCTCCTCCTTGTTTTGACATATCATTGACTTTGAGAATTGATTTTCTGAACAAAATCATTGTTGCTGCTCAGATTGTTTAAGAAGTCCCTCAAAGAGCGGAGCCTTTCCCACCAAATCTAGCTAGCTAACCTCTGCATGAACTATATCGTTACTACTTTATAGTAGTACCTACTACTTTGATGCTTCGGGGTAGCCACAGAACAAATTCAATCAGACCTTGAAAGTAGTTTCACAAGAGCAACATTTATTAAAATCAATAATATCTTGTTCTCGTGAGCATTGGACATCAGATGTACACAATATACAAATGGTGCGTTTTGTAGCAAATATACTTTCTATAGAGACAGCAGCAGCAGAATTGGCATGTACAAAAATACACATTTGATTTTCTCACACAACACAACATACCAAAGTAACAAGGTAATATATTTATATATAATTATATATTTCTGTATCATAAATATGCGGAACTATACACGTTGAACACGATTCACTGTAATGGAGATAACAATTATAATATTAATAATACAGGATAAAGTACTTTTTGAGACCATTTAAAATAGCAACACTTAACATGACAATGGCCTTATTCCAGTGTGTGATTCAGTTGAGAAGCTATATTAATGTCATAATAACACTGCTGACACGCATGGGAACTGCTCTTACATTGTGTTAAGATTTTTTGTACATTTAATTTCTGCAAATTAGTAAATGCACAGTGAAATAAGGTCATTTATCTTTAAGTGTCACTGAAGAAATCAGCACTGCAAGGGCCGCAGCACTGGAACGAAAAGATTATTATTATTATTATTATTATTATGGACAAAACATACAACAGTTAGAGAAGCTGTTTTTCAATGGAGCATTCAACACACACACACACACACACACACACACACACACAACAGACTGTGTCCTTGTCACGACTGAACTGGTTTCTTGGTGAGAACAAACAAAGGAGATTTCTCCCTCAATGGCACAAGTTTTCTCACATTCCTGCTCAGGACACAATGTCAGTGATAACATCATATTCAGCAACATTCTGACACACACACACACACACACACACACACAAACAGTTTTTCCTTCTTCCTCCCCCCTCCCTTCCCTCCCAGGTCACAGCGATACAAACCAGAGCTACAGAGCACAACAATGTGTGCTGTGCATCTGGAAACTCTGCTCATATGAATTAATACCGAACCTATTGATTCACTGATTCAGAGAGACAAGACGCTTCACCCAAAATGTTACAGATACAACCGGTCATAAAAGGTACAAACGCTGTTAAAATAGTCGATGTTTTGTTTTCTTAAGGAATAAGTATGTACAGCGGTCTAGCAAACATCACAGGTGTGGATAAAGCTAAAAGCATGCATGTTCATAGTATTTGCATGAAGACATCGCAGTCATCATGACCATTTTGTTGTCATTACTGCTGCAGAGAGCTTTGTTGTTGTTTATTGTGCCAACATTTGTATCCCCTTAAAAACTGTGACCTAGATGCAATATGACATATACAGTGAAGTAGGAATTTTCAGGTAGATTTAGTCAAAACATTTTATATGTTTCGCAGTTAAAAGCTAACTACAAAAATGTGTCAGGCCTTAATTTCCCATCAGTCTTTATATTATATTCTGCTGGTTTAGAAAATGATAAATATAACTTTAATTTCACAAGCTTCCAGAGAATGAAAAAAGGCTTCTTTGCCTCCTTCATTTTTTTCTCCCCCAAGTGCTGAAAAGAAACGACACATTCCAGAGGCAAAACAGGGACACGCTGCCAAAGAAAAATATTTTTCAGGGGAACCAGATTTTGGCACAAGAGCTGTAATGCTGACCCATTCTGACAACAGCTATAATGATTGTTTACAGATCCAGATGTCCCACTAAACCCTATCTTCCTGTAATGAATTTACAGAATCAGGCATCAGTACTCAATATGTAATTTTTTGAGGATGAACTGAACTGCAGAGCTACAAAGTCACTGTCAAATACATACAATTGCTTTTAAACTTCATTATACTATGGGATATAACCACAACTTCACCACAAGGAGGTGGAAGCAGGAAGTGTATCTGTACCTTTTAAAATCTTAAACCTTGACTGTACCATTACAGTAAGCTGCAACACCTTCTTGTATTGGGATGGCTACTGCTGCCAGAAGGAAAATGAGCATATGGAGAAATATTATTAATCAACAGTGAAGACAGCTGTACACAAGTGAACATATCAGATAAAAACTCATACACAGTTTGTCTGTACAAAGTTCTTATTTACACGTATGACTCTTCTGCAAAAAAAAGCTGGTCAAACTCGTCCACTCGTGGGTCACTGCACCGCCTGCTCTGCCACTCCCTTTTCCCCTGCACGATAGCCAGCGCCACCTCCTGACTCCTTTTCAGGCAGGCGTCTGCATCCTCCTGACCCTGGGAGGAAAAGTAGTCCCGTACAGCCCGGGTGGCGGAGGGAGACAGGCAGAAGTGTGACTCGGCGTGGTTGGGCTCCACCTCTAACACTCTCAGGCCGCCATCTTGGGGCTGACCTTTTGAAGTGCGAGGTCTGTCCAGGGTGAGGCTAGTGGAGGAGTTAGAGCTTGCCGTGACCTTGTCAGGTTCAGAGGCTCGGCGGGGAAGGGGAAGAGTCTTCCTCCCTTTGTGTCCCTCACTGGCTGAAGTAAGGGACTTTTGCCTCTGTAGGACCAAAGTGGTGGTGCTCTGTCCATAGAAAACCCCCTGTGGGGGCTGCACACACTCATTTCTAGCCAGCCTTTGTTTGAACTCACTTCCTGTGTGTGGTTTGGGGTTGTCAAGTGAGGCTGGGATCGGGGGGCTGTAGGCGCAGGTCTGGTCGTGGAGCTGCCTCAGCTCTCTGACGGTCAGAGGTTTCTCTGTCCCCTTGTAGAAAGGAGAGCGGCTGCGCTGCAGCTGCAGCAGAGCCTGCTGGTAGGACGGAGGGCTGCTGGATCTCCGTTGGCTGATCCGGCTTGGCACCACGGCCTCTTGGGCACTGGTGGAGTAGCCATTACTGGTTGGTTGGGTTTTCCCATTCACCACAGGCAAGTCATCCTCAGTGTGTCCATTATCAGGCTGCTTTAGTGACAGGCGGCGTTCCTTCTTGAGCCACATGTTAGGGTGGAGGCCATGAGGGTGTGAGGGGGTTTGGCTGGCTCGAGGGTGCTGGGTAGGTTGTGGCAAATGAGGCGGGGAGCCCCTGGGCGACAGCTGGGGCCGTCCAGGAAAGACAGGGGAGAGAGAAGAAGGCTCAGCCAATGGAATCGCCCCATTGGTGGCATAGTCAGTAGAGTACTGTGAGAAGGCAGAGTCTAAAGAGCTGAGGGAGGAGCCCGTGGGTGAGGTTGCCGGTGACGACAGACTAGAACAGCTGGCATCCAGTCTCAATGGGGGCGGAGGGGCGTGCTTCATCTTTCTCCGCCCACCATTCTGGACTTTGGCTCCTCCCTTCTCACATCCATCCTCCTCCTCCTCCTTCAGCTGCAGCCTGCTTAGCCCCTGCTTAAGAAACACCTCGTCCTCCTCCCCCTCCATGGCGGCATCATAGCTTGTCTTCCTTACTGGTAGGCGGTGGTTATCGGTGTGAGCAGTCACTGTGCTTGAAGGCGTCGTGCTTGCCAAGGCCAAGGCGGGCTCTGAGCTCCTCCTCAGCCTCCTGGGACCCTGCAACGGGCCATTGGCCTGGCGGGTGCGAGGCTGTCGCACTGCAGGGCTGAACCTTCTGGATCTGGCCAGTGGGGGGAGCTGCAGTAGGAGGTCAGTCTCAGGGTCAGGATCAGGGTCGCAATCACTGAGGGTGATGACGGAGTCCCGGCTGCGGCTGTCTGGCTTGTCCTTGTCACGAAGGGGCAGCTGTTCCTGGTAGGGAGACTCAGGGTCGTCGTTCAGCTCGTTCTCCAGACTGTCGTAGGACGAGTCATTCATCTGGAAGGACGACACATCTGGAAAGAGAAAGATGGAAGGGAAAGAAAGGGAGGGTAATAGATGAGGAGGAAGATGAGAAGAAAAAGAAAAATGAGAGAAAGTATATATAATATTCTGAAACCTGGACTAAACAAAGGGTTAACTCTGGAGTCATCAAATAAAGATCATAAAAAAACACAGAAAAACACAATAATTTAGCAAACTTGCCAGTCTTACTTTTCAGTACATTTCCTATAATTTCCTATGCGCTTTTGCAGACACTCCCCTTCAAGCAAGTACTATCCTACAATTTAGGGTATTAGGGTAAAAACTGTAACTAAACCCGCCACATTCTATTGCTATCTCCTGGTACAAACTTCTATCCACGACGCTCAAAAAAGTGAGAGCAGTCTGAGAGAAACCTAAGAAAGCCACAGTTCACTGCTGGAGACGACAGGGGACAAAGCGTCATCCTGGTATGTTGCACCTTGACCTCTAGTGGTTATTTATAGCATCAGGAAGAGAGTTAGTGCAATTTATGAATGAGGAGATTCAATCCTGCGTTAATCAGCACCTGTGACCCTGGTAATTACTGCAGGTCGCTCTGCTGACCCCATTTAACAGGCTGACACACACACACACACAGTGAGCTTGTCCATCTCAAACCAGATTCTGAGTTGTAACACACTTAAGCATTGTCAATAAACAAGCACTTTTAGAAAATAAGAAATTGAAGAGCTGTTTTTTTAGCCACACACACTCTTTGATCAAGACTTGACCTTGATTATGACCCTCATTAAGAACTGTCCAGTCCTACTTGTTACTTCTCAACCAGACATTTTCAACATGGGTCAGTGACGGGTAAAGTTATTTTATTCATCCTATTTTCCTGTTCTCTTCTCTCCTCTCTTCTGTTGACTCACCTGATCCGTGGTCACTGCTGCTGCTCTTCTGGCTGAAGCTTCTGAACAGCGAGGTGACGTCTTCTCCCAGGACTCTGCAGCAGTTCTCTATGAGGAAGCGAATGAGCTCACAGACCTGCAGGCAGAAAACATCACCTGGTTAATAACATGAACACCTCGACTTGTCTTGGCTTCTCATTCGTTTTCACTGTTGTACAGATAGATGGATGGGT